GGGATGAATATGAAAGTTTTTTTTTTTTCGGGCCACCCTGCCTTGGTGGGAATCGGCCAGTGTGATAATAAAAAAATAAATAATAATCTAGTATTTTCCTGGGTGAAAACTGAGAGGAAGTAGGTATTGAGAATTTCACACTCATCCTTATCACTGTTGATCTGACCAGAGTTACTCTTAAGTGGGCCAATCTTGTCCCTAATCTTACTTCTGTATACCTGAAAGAACCCTTTTGGGTTATTCTTTGAATCTCTTGTAACCTTAGCCTCATAATCCCTTTTTGCTTTTCTTATTCCTTTCTTTATTTCTCTTTAATTGAATATATTGATTTCTTAACTGCCCATCCCCTCTTTTGATACACCTATATATGCCTCTCTTTTGACCAGTGAGATGTTTTAATCTATTGTTCATCCATTTGGGATCATTTTTATTAGATCTAATTTCCCTACTTGGAACAAAAGTTGTCTGGGCAACTAGAACTATGCTCTGAAAAATGTCATATTGGCAACCAAGATCACCTACCTGACCCATAGTCAGGACATCCCAATTTATCCCACCCAGGTAATTTTTCAGTCCCATGAAGTCGGCCAAGCAAAAATCTGGGACAGATTTGATTGCAGTTATCTGGGTAATTCCATGATACTATATTGAAACCGAGTGATTTATGATCACTTTCCCCAAGCTTATCATAAGCCTGAAGATTATTAATTAGTGAATCTTTGTTGGCAAGAACCAAGTCAAGCAGATTGTTTCCTCTAGTTGGTTCTGTCACAACCTGTTCTAAAAAGCAATCCTGAACCGTATCAAGAAATTCACTAGACTCAAGATTTCCTGTCATATTGTTCCAATCAATTTGTCTGAATTTGAAATCTCCCATTATCACAATATTTTCATATCTAGATGCCTTTTGAATTTCATCCCATAACAGCTTATTGCACTCCCTATCAAGGTTTGGGCACCTATAAATCACACCCAGAATTATTTTGTCATGTCCCTCGAGAAACTGTAGCCAAACAGATTCTGTGTTCAATGTTTCTAATCTTATATCATGTCTAAGACAACAATTTAAATTTTCTGATATCGCCACTCCACCACCCTTCTTGTTGACCCTATCAGTGTGGAATAGTTTATAACTGCATGTTGCATTCAGAAGGCATTTCTCTATCTTTCAGGTTGAACCAGGTCTGTTATACCAATAATGTCTATATTACCTACACTTGCAAGTAATCTTAACTCATCTATCTTATTTCTTAGACTCCTACTATTTGTATAGTAAACCTTAAGGGAGCTAGCCTCTTGTTGCCCTCTACTCTCTCTCTGTTTGTTCTATGGCAAGTTTATTTTGAATATTGTCCTTTTTTATACATATCCCTGAGGTATCCTGGTAATAACTGCTGATTTTAATCCTAATGCTGCAGCCTGATTGTTTACCACAAACACCCGTTCCTCTATAATCTATCAGTTTAAATTCCTAGACAAGTCATCAGTTACCCTCTCAATCGAATTGGCTAATGCAACCACTCCATCCCCAGAGAGATGAACCCCATCCCTTGCATACACATCATGTTTGCCAAAGAATAGGTCCCAGTTATCAATGAATGGGATTGCAAGTTCCTTGCAGTACCTGTCTAGCCAGCAATTTATACCAATTGCCCTAGACATCCATTCATTTCCCACTCCCTTTCTAGGCAAGATGCTACATATGACTGGGATCCCTCCCTTAGACCTAACTACTTCTATGGCTGACCTGTGCTAAGATAATGGGCAGATAATGGGCTTGTTCCCATTACCTGCCATATTATCCAACCTGCTGACTGTCACCAGCTCCAGGAAGGCACACTGTCTGACCTTTCTGTGTGTTACATAATGCTCGGTCCATATATCTTACCAGAGAATTGCCTACTATTAAAATATTCTTACCTTGATTAGCAGGGGAGTCAGTGGTACCTTCAACCTCACTAACCACTGAAGTACACTCGTCTTGGAGAACAGAGAATCGATTTGCTACTTTCACACCTTCTCTATTAACTCTCCTCATCTTCCTGAACTGTGAACCACTTCCCACTTAAAGTGGCTGCCACTTTCACTGCTGGTGACCATTCTTTCCTTACCAGCTAAATCCTCCTCACACTCCCAAACTCATCTATGCAAAGCTTCAGCCTCCGATTTGCCTCCTGAAGAAGGAGAATCTCCTTCTTCAACACTTGAACCTGAGATTCTAAAACACTACAACAAGCCATGATGCTTAGTAACAGCCCATGCTAACTCCCAAGAGCTTTGGCAGGTATGACCACACGTGACCACTGACCTGAATTGTTGCCTTTTGTGTTCTGCTGGTAGCATTAAAAATATTTAATATTTTCTGATCTTAAATTTACCATATTTTCTTAAAAATTTCAGGGACTAAAAGAGATGCTTGTAGAAGCAGCTGAAACATTCATTACGAAAGAAGAAGAGTGTTTAAAATTGGAAAAGCAGCTGGAGATAAGTGAGCAGAATTCTACTAAGCAGGCAAGTTTTATAAATGTTAAATTATTTGTTAGCAGAGTCATTACTAGACAAAATTTACTAACTTGTAACTAACTATGAGTTTATGATTGTGATGGGGGTGATCTCGAGTGCTTGGAACTGTCCTGCAGATTTTTAGAGAAATTGGCTCTAAAGTTATTTAAATTTAAGAAATCTTTAAAGTGATAAATGTTTAGGTAATCTCTAACCAGCTTTAAAAAATAGCATTGTATGAAATGTGGCAAATTTGGAGATGCTGTTGTAATTTTCTATTTGTAGTCTCAGGCTCAGAGCTAAGCTTGTGATGAAGTCTATGAAACGAGGTGAATCCCTGAATCGTTGAAGGACAAACAATAATAGAAATGAGTGTTGACTTGTCTACAAAGAAGCAAATGTGTACACAGAAAAAAAAAATATAAATATATACACCTACCATCCGACTTATGACCTGCTCGACAAACGTCCACTCGACTTATGACCTGCTCGACAAACGTCCACTCGACTTATGACCGTACATCTAGCAGCTGGGCTGGGCTGGCTGATACGTACCACTGTACAATATTTGACGATCCTCGCGGCGGCAATGCGCCATGCAGGCAGCATCAGTTTGAGTTACCCTGCCCTATCAGCAGCATCATACTGTATGAACTGTACTAACTGGACAGTAAATTTTACCATGGTCCCTAAGAGGAAGTATGAATTTTGCACTGGAGATTGTGGCAAGAAGGCAAGAAAGGCTCTTACTCTCAAATTCTGTTTTCATTGTTGTGCACAAATCTGTATCTGTCTGCCTGTATATCTGTCTGTGTCTGTCTTTGTCTTCCTGTGTCTTTGTCTACCTGTGTGTCTGTCTTTGTCTGCTTGTCTGTCTCAGAGCCACTCATGAACCAACAGGCATTACATGCAAAGCAGAGTTGTCACATCTTCAATATGATGCTAATATCACCCTGCCTCGGTGGGAGACGGCCGACTTGTTGAAAAAAAAAAAAAAAAAAAAAAAAATCACTATACAGCTTATTTATCTGTCACAATTCATCTAATATGACATAATAAACAATATAAATAACATAAATCCTGATATACACTCTAGAAAGAATAAAATATGAACCTAACTACTTTGAACTCCACATTTTGCACCAGTGCTGGTGTGCAGGTACACATTAAAATCATTAAGAGTGTGTTATTGGTCTTGAAGATGCCATATTAATAATAATAATACAATAATCACACTGTGGTGCATTAAATGTGTGTAAAACGTTAATATAGACATTTTGCTTAATCTATCTATGATTTTTTCAAAATTATGTAATAAACATGCTATGTAACATATAAATTAACATAAATATGAGATGTTTTTCCAGTCGGCTTGACAGAGTGAACAAAAACCATTCGTGTCTGGGCTGCTAACAACAACAGCAGCAGCAGCAGCAGCAGCAGCAACTAGTTTGTTTACAAAACTCGCGAACCTTCTACACTCATTCTCTCTCTCGTTTATTCATTTAATCATGTTTACTCGCCTCTCACTCTACATAAAGACTACAGATATTTTAAAGGAAGTAATGAGTAAGCACTATATTATATTATAGTTTAATAATATTATTATTATTAATAGTACATACGTGTGTAGTAGGTTGGTAGACAGCAGCCACCCAGGGAGGTACTACCTTTCTGCCAAGCGAGTGTAAAACGAAAGTCTGTAATTGTTTTACATGATGGTAGCATTGCTGGTGTCTTTTGTCTGTCTAATAAATATGCAAGATTACAGGTACTTCTTGCTACTTCTACTTACACTTAGGTCATACTAAACATGCATGTACATGTTTATTTATACACACTCATCTGAGTTTTCTTTGATTTTATCTTAGGTCTTGTTCTAATTACTTTTCCTTTCATATCCATGGGGAAGTGGAATAAGAATCTTTCCCCTTTAAGTCATGCGTGTTGTAAAAGTCAACTAAAATGCTGGGAACAATGGGCTAGTAGTCCCTTTTCCTGTAATAATTACTAAAAAGAATAAGAAGAAGAAAATTGTCAAAGTGGAAAGTCTGAATGTGCGTGGATGTTGTGCGAATGATAAGAAAGAGATGATTGTGGATGTTATGAATGAGAAGAAGCTGAATATCCTGGCTTTAAGTGAAACAAAGCTGAAGGGGGTGGGTGAGTTTCAGTGGAGAGGAATAAATGGGATTAGGTCAGGGGTTTCTAGTAGAGTTAGAGCTAAAGGAGGAGTAGCAATAATGTTGAAGGATAAGCTATGGCAGGAAAAGAGGGACTATAAATGTATTAATTCAAGGATTGTGGAGTAAAATAAAGGTTGGATGTGAGAAGTGGGTTATAGTAAGTGTATATGCATCTGGGAAAGAGAGAAGTACAGTGGACCCTCAACCAACGATGGCATCGATTAACGATAAATGCGACCAGCGATACATTTTAACGCAAAAATTTTGCCTCGACTAGCGCTAAAAAACTCAACCAACACTATTCGTTCCGTCTGAGACGCGTCCACTTCTGGCCAGTGTTTACAAGCCAGCCAGTCACCGCGGTCGCTTCTAATCATCAATCGGAACATTTCATATTATCACAGCCTTTTAGTGATTGCACCTGCAAAATAAGTTGCCATGGGCCCCAAGAAAGCTTCTAGTGCCAACTCTACAGCAAACAGGGTGAGAATTATGGATATGAAGAAAGAGACCATTGCTAAGTATGAAAGTGGAGTGCGTGTCTCCGAGCTGACCAAGTTGTACACAAAACCCCAATCAACCGTCGCTACTATTGTGGCCAAGAAAACGGCAATCAAGGAAGCTGTTCTTGTTAAAGGTGCAACTATGTTTTCAAAACTGAGATCGCAAGTGATAGAAGATGTTGAGAGACTTATTGGTGTGGATAAACGAAAAACAGATAGCAGGAGATATTTCTTATGGGGAAAATTAACTCGACTAATGATAATTTCGATTAACGATGAGCTTTCGGGAACGGATTAATATCGCTGGTCGAGGGTCCACTGGATAGAGGAGAGAGAGAGATTTTGGGAAATGTTGAATAATTGCTTGGGGAGTTTTGAACCAAGTGTGAGAGTACTTGTGGTTGGGGATTTTAATGCTAAAGTGGGAAAAAAAATGTTGTGGAGGGAGTAGTAGGTAAATTTGGGGTGCCATGGGTAAATGAAAATGGTGAGCCTTTAATTGAGCTGTGTGTAGGAAGAGGATGGTAATAAGTAATACATATTTTATGAAAAAAAGGATAAATAAATATACAAGGTATGATGTAGCAAGTAATGAAAGTAGTTTGTTAGATTATGTATTGGTGGATAAAAGGTTGATGGGTAGGCTCCAGGATGTACATGTTTATAGAGGGGCAACTGTTATATTGGATCATTATCTAGTTGTAGCTACAGTTAGAGTAAGAGATAGTTGGGATAAGAGGACAATGGCAACAAGAAGAGGGAGGTGAAAGTGTATAAACTAAGGGAGGAGGAAGTTCGGGTGAAATACAGTGGACCCTCAACCAGCGATATTAATCCGTTCCTGAGAGCTCTTCGTTAGTCAAAATTATCGTTAGTCAAGTTAATTTTCCCCGCAAGAAATAATGGAAATGAAATTAATCCGTGCAAGACACCCAAAAGTATTGAAAAAAAAAAAATTTTACCACGTGAAATATTAATTTTAATAAACACAAACTGAAGATTACATGCACAGTTACATGACACTTACCTTTATTGAAGATCTGGTGATGATTGATGGGATGGGAGGAGGGGAGAGGTGTTAGTGTTTAGAAGGGGAATCCCCTTCCATTAGCACTTGAGGCAGCAAGTCTTTTTCTGGGGTTACTTCCCTTGTTCTTTTAATGCCACTAGGACCAGCTTCAGAGTCACTGGACTTCTGTTGCACAACATATCTGTCCATAGAGGCCTGTACCTCTCGTTCCTTTATCCTAAAGTGTTTCACAACATTGTCAGTGTAATAGTCACCAGCACGGCTTGCAATAGCTGTGTGAGGGTGATTTTCATCAAAAAAAGGTTTGCACTTTAAGCCACATTGCACACATTTCCTTAATCTTTGAAGTAGGCAACTTCGTCAATTTCTCTCTCCCCTCCTCCGGAGCAGTTTCCTCAGGTGTGGCCTCTTACTGTTGAAGGTGATCTAGCAGCTTATCAGTGGTTTGTTCTTCATTGTCCTCCTCCACCAACTCTTCCACATCCTCCCCACTAACCTCATCAATATGAGCACTAGTTCCAGGCATTTTTTCCTGTTCACCTGGGTGTTAGTCAACTGTTGTGGTTTGCATCCTGGGGGACAAGATTAAGGACCCCCAATGGAAATAAGTTAGACAGTCCTCGATGATGCACTGACTTTCTTGGGTTATCCTGGGTGGCTAACCCTTCGGGGTTAATCGTTTCTCGGTAATTGTTTCACGTTAAGCCACACCAACAACACATTCTCCACATCTTCAAGTAATACAGCTGATGGTGGTGCAGCAACAACAACAGCTGACTGTGGTGCAGCAGCAGCTGCACCTTTGGCAAGAACAGCTTCCTTGATTGACATTTTCTTACCCACAATAGTAGCGATGGTTGATGGGGGTTTATTATACAACCTGACCAGCTCAGAGACACGCACTCCACTTTCATACTTAGCAATGATCTCTTTCTTCATCTCCAGAGTAATTCTCACCCTTTTTGCTGTAGGGTTGGCATTAGAAGCTTTCTTGGGGCCTATGGTGACTTATTTTGCAGGTGCAATCACTACAAAGGCTGTGATAATATGAAATGTTCCAGTTGTTGTATGTTTGGAAGCGACCGTGGTGGCTGGCTGGCTTGTGAACACTGGCACCGAAGGGACAAGTGAGTCGCGCTCAGGCCAAAGTGGACGCGTATGGTACGGAACGAATAGCGCTGGTCGGGTTTTTAAGCGATAGTCGAGGCAAAATTTTTGCGTTAAAATGTATCGCTAGTCAGATTTATCGTTAATCGATGCCATCGCTGGTTAAGGGTCCACTGTATAAGC